CTTTCTGTGCTGGGGGGTGGGGGGGGACACTCCATTTCCTAAGGGATGTCCTTATCTAGCTGCAAACAGCAATTTCCTGGAGTGGCTTTCAGATTGTTTTGGGCACTCTTTGGAGCTATTTGAGGTAAGAACAATGGGGAAAAAAAGAGTCTTGTTTTACTCTGTAAGCGTACAAAGGCATAAACAATTCCATGTGCTCCTTCCCGGTGCGTAGGGCAGAGGCTCTAATCTGGATGTAGCCCAACTAGTCCCATTTTGCAGTTTTCATTGGAAACAATTTAACATTCGCTTCAGCCTAAATGGGGTAAGTGCAGATATGGATGCTGTCTGTTTCACCAAGTCGTGGGATGATGGGCTTCATCCTGGCACAGTAAATGCAGTCAGGGTTTGGATGGGGCTGTGCCTGGCTTCCATCTGCATTTTCCAGCACAAGCCCAGCTGAGCTTCCCAAAACCACTCTCCATATCTCCAAGCTCTACTGTGACACCAGTGGATGCAGGTGGTGACATCCTGGTGCTCTGCTCCAGCCAGATCTTCACTTCTCAGCTGTTGGATGTGGATTTGGGACCACGTGGGTCATGTCCCAGGGCAGGATTTGTCATTGGAAGCCATTATCTCCAAGCCCTAAAGCTGAAAGTAAAGTTGATGTGACATTCCCTGCTTAGAAGAAGGGATGGTGTAAGCAGTGGTTGGTGCTGGTAGCGCAGGGGGACATGGAGACAGTAGGGACCTTGTCAGAGTGATGAAACCTTAGCCAAGGAGAAGTTCCTTGTCCTCCACCCAGCTTCATTATCTGTGTCACCATAAATCCTTTAGCAAGCCCTTGACTTCTGAGTGATGTTCACCCTCTCCCAGGGCTCAGCAGCATGCTGAGTCTCAATTTCTAGCTCATGGTTGGGGTGCCATCAACGAGCTGCAGGCAGAGAAGGGTTTGCAGCCAGCAGGGGCTCAGCTGGAGTAACTCAAGAAGCAGCCTCCCACCTGTTCCTGACCAGAGGTTAGGGCAGGACATGTGCAGAACCCATCACGTAGCCCCAGCAGCACTTCCCCTGGGCACGTTTTGGTGGCAGGGTGATACAGAGCACGACGCCGCGATAGGTTTGTTTGCCATGAAATGCAGATACACCCCTGTGTTTGAAGCAAAGGGTGACATTGCTACGCAGAAGGACTTCAGATTCTGATAACTGATCTGCTGGCTCATTGATTCTTTTCATTGTCTGGTTTGTGTTGAATTCAGCAGTTCAGCTTGTAGAGGATGTCACTCATTTGGAAGGTTATGATGATGGTGTTACTCTTGCAAGAGCTCTTTGTGCTTTGTTATCACAGTTTTGATCAGACAGCACTGACTGGTTGGAGGTAGTTCATGCATTTGGCAAAGAAGGCAGAAGATGTTGTAAAACTTAATTTTATCTGCTCGTTGTAAGGTGGGGCTTTTGTTGCTCATGAGGCTCTGCCACACAAAGGTGGAGAGGATGTGAGATGTGATAGCATTGCCAGTGGTGCAGAGCACATCACCTGCTTGGGACTGACAGCTGGCATGGACCTCTGCTTGCTGTCCATGGGGTTTGGGCAGGTTATTGTTAAACAGTTTCAAACAGCTGAAATGGTTCAGGAAGCGGCAACTGATGGTTTCGTCATCCCCAGCTGGTGTTGGACGTGATGGCACTTCCTTGAATGTCACTGTGGGGTGCTGAGGCCCTGCTTGGCACTGAAATTTGCCCTTTTTATTTCCTGGCATGGCCCAGCTTCCCCTGCACCTCTCTTTCCCTCTGCTCACAATCTCATTTTTGTTTCCCTGCAATAAGGATCATGGACGATGGCACTGGTGCTGTCTTATGGCACAGCGAGGACTTGGTTCAGCTGCTCTCAGCCTTATCTGAAAATGGAAAATGCAAAATAAATACATAATAAATCCTTCTGGTTATGTCTTGGGACGGATTGTGGCAACCAAGCCTCTCCATATCAGGTCCCTGTCCCTCTTCTTTGCCCCAGAGCTCCACTTCACAGCTCCCCCTCAAGCACCTGGGGCACATGCCTCAAAAGCCAGACATCACTGCTGTATTTAAGCAGCAAACTCAATGTGATCATGTAGCTGTAACCACTTGGAGGTGTGTGGGGTGTTTTTTTTCTCCCTGGTGACTTTCCCACAGGGTTTCTCTCCACGATTGCTCTTGTTACTCAGCGGTTGTTATTGTTCAGGTCCCCATCATCTGACCCGTTATAATCCCCATATTGCATTACAGGGATTGCTGCACATTCTTGGTATATGCCTCTGTTGGTCAATTTTAGACTGCCCCATCGAGCTTACGAGTTTCTTAAAAGCAATGCATGGTTATGTTACACAGGCACATTCTCTGACTGTTTTCCACTTAATGCCTTGGCACTGGGAAATGGCATGCATCAGTAGCAAAGGGAAATAAATATGTGGGTTTTATTAGCAAAAAAATGACAGCCAGCATTATAGAAATTCCTCTCAAGTATTTGGCATTAGTGTGTGTGCCTTAAATACAGAATAAATTAGAGGCACTTGAAGCATGGCTTGATGGCCTGCTTAGTGTCATGACATAGGAGTCAACTCCTCTCAATAGTTAAAAACTTGTCAACCCTTTTGCTTTCGAGACAGATAGGCTGGAAGCCTCGAAGAATGTGCATAAAAAAGAAAAGCCGTTTATGTAGAGTCATCCTGCACTGGAGTCTAAGTTTCATGAAGAATCCATCCACATGTAACTGCTTGTTTTAGGAACAGTAAGCAAGAACTACGAATTGTTCATTGAAAGTGCAGTCTTCTTTTTTTTTCTTTCCTATCAGCACAGTAAGAATTCATTCCTTTTATTTAACACCTCTTACATCCCTACATCTCGTGCAGTAGCTCATTAGTGCTGGGAATCCCGAGCGAGTGTCAAATTGGCCTGAAATGATGAGTGCCACTGTTGGAAGTGGCTTTCCTCTTTCATTCACTGTGATGGCATTAGGGAGGATTATGGACGGCTCTCATGGAAACGTCTGCAAAATGTTATTGGGAAGAGGAGTTGGGTATTGCCTTGGAAAGAACTTCTAGATTTGGCCTTCAGAACAGTTTCAGCCTGAAGGGTGTCTTCTGTTGCCTTAATGTGCTGTTTCCAGTACACCAAAACACTAAGCAATGTGTTAGAAAAGGAAGTGGATCCCGTACTCAATGTAATTTATGGAGGAGACCTAAAGTAGGCAAAATGTGATACCCACTTTGGAAATCTGTGGGATTAGCACCCGTGCCACTGGGAGAGGTGTCACTGGGCAGCCTTTGCCCTGTGCCCGATGGAGAAGGCACTGCTCCCAGAGGTGTAGTGTTTCCTAGCAGCAGTATTGACAAATGATATATTTCTACTTAGAAGAAACTTGCTTTTTAAATCCCTATCAGTGTTCTCAGTATCCCCGTTTTCCATCTCGAGAGGCCTTCATGGGCTGACCCTACTTAACTCAGCAGATCTGGCAAGACCAGGGCCCAAGATGGGCCTGGCTGCAGACAGTGGAAATACAAGAAGGTGGCCAGGGGCTTTATTTACAGTCAAGAAATTAGCAAGCGATTTGTAACCACTGAATAGACAGCTTCTGTGACCCAAACAGCATCGTTTGGGTGAGTAACATACCGGCTACTGGAGCGCATTGATTTATTTGATAACATCAGGAAACCATTTATGGACTCTATTATGGATAGCACTTGCTGGAGGTTAGAGCTGCAGAGCAGATAGATTGATGTGTGGGTCTGCTGTTGTGCTTGCTACTGCATAATATAAAATAAGGATGGCCCCTGAAATACCGAAGGGGCAAACAGAAGCGTTGTGTACTTGGCGTGGTTTATTTTTATTTTTACATTTGCCATTTATTTGATTCTTAAATGTTTGAATTCTTTGCAGTGGTGTACCAACCTGTGGTTTATGGCTTTTTAATTGGACACCATGGTTCTTGTTGCAGAACTCAGCAGCACGAGGCCCCATCTTGCAGACATGGTTTTTCTGATGGCAGATTCCAGTAGAACATAACTGGGAGCGGGCTCCAACCCACTGGGACTCGGTTTCACAACTTCTCACCTGTGGCTTCTTTCCTATGAAAGATGCTTTCACAGTCATAAGCTGAGAACTTGACTTGATGGCCCCTGAAATGGCGGTTCAAAGTAGGAAAAGGATGAACCTGAGTTGTGTTTTTCAGCCACTATCTGGTGACAGTATGAGTAACATCCATGGCAGAGAGAGGCCAGTGGGGATGTCTGTAGTGGGGCACTGCTTCGCTCCTGGGCAGGATGTGATGTGCTGGGGAACACTCACTATTAGGAGAGGGGATGGACCTGGCCCCAGCTGGATGTGATGTGTTTTGTGTTGACCACTGGCTGCCTCTCCCCATCTCAGGGGCTTTGTCTAATCGGGATCTAGCACTTGGGAGAGCTTGTAGGTCATGTAGCAGGTGACCTTGCATCAGTTTCCCCGCAGTATTCAGGTTTTAGGACCTCATCAAAAGTGGTGAAATCCCCCTGCTGTCCTCAGTCCTGTTTTTGAGACATCTGAGTTGTAATGGATACAGACACCTCATGAAATTATAAAGAAAAATGATTTCAACACGGATCTCCCCCAGACACCTTGCAGGCAGCATCAACTGCACCCGTGGACTGGGGGCAATCCGTGCACAGAAAGTAGCACTAAATTCCCCTAGAAAATGACCATCTCCTCTGGATCTCAATGGGGGACGCACCAGCTGCACTGAAATGTCAGAAGGGTTTGCACAGCTGACACGTTGCTGAAAATGGAGCATGGCAGCATCTCCATAAATTCTCTTTATCCAGCCAAGTGCAGCTTAATATAGACTTAGAGGTGCTGCCCGTGTGCTGCACTGCGATCGAGAGCTGCTGCCGCTCATGACCAAAACACAAAGTTGTTGATTTAACCAGATGAGCTACTGCTAGGGGGAAAAAATACCAAATTTATCTTCAGTTTTATTAAGTTACAGGGGAAGGAGGGAACGAGCAAAACATGTCTGAACTCGGCCAAACATCTGACGAAGATGTGTCCCCCGAGGACATAAATGAAGATGAAATCCTGGCCAACCTCTCCCCTGAGGAGCTGAAGGAGCTGCAGAGTGAGATGGAGGTGATGGCCCCTGACCCTGAGCTCCCCACAGGAATGATACAGAGGGATCAGACAGAGAAGCCCCCAACGGGCAGCTTTGACCACCGCTCCCTGGTGGACTACCTGTACTGGCAGAAGGCGTCCCGACGCATGCTTGAGGATGAGAGAGTTCCCGTCACCCTCCTGCCCTCCGAGGTAATCAGCAAAAAAATCCTGCCTATCTTTTGTGTGTCTGCTATGGGATCTGTTTTGTAGTTGCAATACCTTAATCTATCCCTGCTTCCATTCTTTGTTAGAACGGTGCAGTACAAGCCATGTGTTTAAATGGCTTGAAAGCCTCAGTAATGTCAGGATCCAGCTTGGACTGGTATGAAAGTTTATATTTAGATGTTTTCCTAAATCTTTATTTGTGGCTTTCAGCAGAAAAATATCTTAATGCTGTTTCAATAAAGCAAACCACTGAGAAACTCTCAGAAAATCAATCTGGAGGATATAAGGCACCGGTTTGGCTTTGCACATTGATTGATATCGTACTGCTTTTCCATGGAGCACTTAGTTTAATGAGTATGTTGAATGTAATCATCAGCAGAATTTAATGTCACGTTGGGGGAAAAATCCTACAGACCGTTTTTTCAATGTGAACGTACAAAAATGAGCAGGCATGCAAACTCCCTGAACCGGTCCCATCCTTTTCGATGCACTCCTTAAATTTGTTGTACTATCCATATGATTTGAATAGAGGTTAAGGACACACTTGGATATTTGTCAGTGTTTTGTGGCACTTGACAAGGAAATGATAAAAATAACACCAAATCCAGAAGTAGAGTAGGATCAGAGTTCCTTAATCCCCAGAAGGGTTTCAGGACCACCTTAGTGTATCATTAAATCCATCCAGGATTTATTGGTCAATGTTCTTCAAGGGAAAAGATGAGAAATTTGCCTACAGCCACTTTCAGAGCAATTCTCCTTTCATTCCATACCAATGCAGCACACTAGGACTTTCAGACAACGGCACGTTTAAGTGTTATTATTCTATAGTGGACGTAGAGGTATGGAAATACCACCATTCGGTTGTTTCAGCAAAAGGTTAATGTTATTTTGCCTGTTTCTGTCTCCTGCAGAGAATGACAGCAGAGGAGATGGGAGACGGTGGTGGCAGGAGGGGGCCAGAAGCTGATGGGAAAGAGCGGCACTACAAAAATGAAAGCGTGTCACATGCAGTAACACAGCCTGAGGAGATGAACAGAGATGGAAGCAATGAGGAGAGAGAGGAGGAGGAGGAGGAGGAGGAGGAAGAAGAGGAAGGTGAAGAGGAGGAAGATGAGAGTGAGTCAGAAACAAAGGAATGTGTTAATGAAAATCATCACAGTGATCAAACAAGCAAGCAACCAGGTACAGAGTCAGGGGAAACCACGGAAAAGTCAGATGAAAATGAAAAGAAAATCTCAAAATTGAACATCCCCAAAAAGTTAGCGTTAGATACCAGCTTCATGAAGCTCAGTGCTAGGCCATCAGGAAATCAAACCAACTTAGAAGAGAGCTTGGAGAAAGTCCGAAAAAACAATCCAGAGATGAAGGAGCTCAACCTGAACAACATAGAGAACATCCCCAAAGAAATGCTGATAGACTTTGTCAATGCAATGAAGAAGAATAAGAACATAAAAACGTTCAGCTTGGCCAATGTGGGAGCTGATGACAGCGTTGCATTTGCACTGGCCAATATGCTGCGTGAGAACAGGAGCATCACCACGCTCAACATCGACTCCAACTTCATCTCTGGGAAGGGCGTTGTGGCCATCATGAGGTGCCTGCAGTACAACGAGATTCTGACGGAGTTCCGCTTCCACAACCAGAGGAGCATGCTGGGCCACCAGGCTGAGATGGAGATCGCCAGGCTGCTGAAGGCCAACAACACCCTGCTGAAAATGGGCTACCACTTCGAGCTGCCGGGGCCCAGGATGGTGGTGACCAACCTGCTGAGCAGGAACCTGGATAAGCAGAGGCAGAAGAGGCAGGAGGGGCAAAGGCAGCAGCAAATGAAAGAGCAGAGAGAGCTGATTGCCATGTTGGAGAACGGATTGGGCTTGCCACCTGGGATGTGGGAGATGCTGGGGGGGCCGATGCCCCAGTCCAGACCACAGGAAGCTCCCCCAGCACCCAAACCACCCATCCTCACCTCAGCACCTCAGGGACGGGGGAAGGAAAGCACACGACCCACAGCTCCTGAGCAGCCGCGTGGGGCTGAGCCCAGCTTCAGGGTGATCAAGCTGAAGAAGATCCAACGCAAACCCGCCGTGCCCAAGTATGTGGAGCCCACTGAGAAAACCAACCTCAAGGATGTGATCAAGACCCTGAAGCCCATCCCCAGGAGAAGACCCCCTCCTCTCGTTGAGATAACACCACGAGATCAGCTGCTGAATGACATTCGTCAGAGCAACGTCGCGTACCTCAAACCGGTGAGTGTTCAGCAGAGGAGGGGATCGTGCTCTAGAGCTGCTATTTTCATAGAACATTAAGGTTGGAAAAGACCTCTAAGATCACCAAGTCCAACCCCAACCCACCCCCACCGTGCCCGCTGATCACATCCCTCAGTGCCAAATCTCCATGGTTCTTGAACAACTCCAGAGATGGTGGCCCACCCCACCTCTCTGTGCCACTGCATCACTGCTCTTTCTGAGAAGAGATTTTTGCTAATATCAAATCTGAACTTCCCTTGGTCCATCTTAAAGCCATTACCTCTCATCCTAGTCTTTACCCGTCAGCATAATGGTGGGACTTCCAAGCACATCCCAAGCTGTGTGCAGTTATCCCATGGCATCCACTGGGGGGATGCCCCAGCATCACGAGAGCCCCACTGCCTTCTTTGGCTTTTATTTTGCACCATCATAGGGCAAAAGTAATTAGTGAAATCCCAATGACAGGTGTGGGATTTTAACCTCTTGTTCCACAGTAATAAAGGTAAATAAAAGGAAATACAGCTGGGGGCAAACAAACTCAGAGGAACTGAATGCTGATGTGCTGGTAATAATATGTTAAATATTATAATATGCAAATACTCTTATAAGATTGGGAATACAACAGTTTTTTTTCCACAGAATTCATTTAATCTGTCCTTAGGTCCCCATTAAAAAAACATGCTGTAGTCCTGTTATTATTATTACTTTCTATTACAGCGACAGTGCAAAGACCCCCCTAAATTCTATTTTCTGTGGGTCTGTGCCTGCACCTTATGTTTGGATTTAGAACAGCAGGATGGGTAAAAGATGGCTTTTCTTGGTTGCTTACATACAATTTTAGAGCTGCTTAGAAGCATCTCGGGTAAAATTGGTCCTGTGCAAAAAAAAGTACAAATTATGGATTTGGGTTTTGTTGCTCATTCTGTTTTACGAAGTTGCTAAGTTGCTGGAAGGAGAATCAGGGGCCAAATTCACCCAAGGCACCTGGAGGTGTCTGTGCTGGTGCATGCAGAGCCTGGTGACCTGATGATGGGAACCACTGTCCCAGGAAGCTTCTGATACTCATTTTTTTTGCTTCCCTGTAACATTACTTTGCACTGTACCTTTATTCGAGGAAAATTGAAAGCAGTTCAAAATGTGTGTAGCTAGTGATGTTGATGCCTCTGTTTGTGTTGCTAAGGTCTAAGGAAGATGACAGAAAATCTTTTGCAAATAGAAATAGTCAGTAGTATTTTGTAATTAATATGTTGCTCAATATTGACCCTTTTGTACAGTGGGGGACACTTTGCTTTCACTTGTCTGCACAGAAGTAACTATTCCCTCAGTAATTTCAGGCAGTGCCTTGTCCTGAAATATCAGAAGGGACCAGCCCTGCAGTGACCTTGAACCCTGTGGCTTTCTACTGGCACAGCCCTGATCCACACCCTCCCCCCACCCAAAATCCCAGGCAGATCTTGATAGCCACAGGCTGTGGGATTTGTTGCTGTTTGCTCTCCCAGAGCTGCTGGCTGAGCTTGGGAGCCACGTCTGGATGCTTGGGTGACCTGGAAAGATGAAACAAAGGACACTTGTGCTGATTTTTGTTGATACACCTAGTATCAGGCCAAACGGCTTGGATTTAGGGCATTAGGGTTTTATTCTTATCTGCTCATGTGATTTGGGTAACTGCTTTTCTGCCTTGATATCCTCAGCTCTGCTATGTTTTACTGCCTGAACCAACCTGGGTGTCTTTGCTCTGGGGGGGAGGCTCATTGCTTGCAAAGTGATCTACTGGGCATTAAGCATCACAGACTGCAAGTGGGGAACAGCAGACAGACCCAAACTCCTGATTGAACTCCCTGATGCTCCTTGCCATTATGTTTCTGGTCCTTTCACAGTTTCTGAAGGTTTGTATGTTTATGTTGAACTAAACTGCTTTGAGAAATTGCCTTTCCTTACAGTGTTTCTTTGTCCTTGTCCAGGTGCCGTTACCAAAGCAGTTGGAGTGAGAGACCCAAAGAAAACAACTCGGAGCAAAGACTGTTCAAGTTTTGCTTACAGTTGTTTCAGCAGAAGTTTTCTGCAGAACCCAGGTGGTGTATATGACTCTTTGGGAACAAAGCTTGCAATATGCACTTCTCTCAGTGTGATGAAAAAGGCTGGCACGGGAAAAATCAGCACTAAGAATTTCCATCAGGTATCAAAATCCCAGTGCCATCTGTCTGCCAAATGGATTCAAGGCTCCAGTTTGTTGTGGGAGGATTTCCTCAGAGACATCAATAACATTAAGTCTTTCTAGTTTGTCAGTAAACTATTTTGCTTCCATGTTGTCCTTCTGCTGTCCAATTCTGCAGGAACACGCTGTGCTTTAGCTTATCTTTCTTTTCACACACATGCTCCTTGATTATTCTCTTGTCCATAAGAAAAGCATTTGGTTTCTATGTAAACAGCTTTATTTTTTAGGCTAAGGAAATGAATGAAATAAAAGCTCTCTCCATAAGAAATGTGCAGCACGTCCATGGCTTGTAAGAAGCTTGCAGAACAGAATGCACTCCGGTGCATCCATGTTTCAAGCCAGTGTATTTCCTTACAGTCCAGTTGGTCTCATACCTGACCAGCATGTAAAAGATGATGCCGTGCTGTTTAGAGAGCTGTAATCTTAATTCCATGTAATTCACCCCTGGATCGGGCTCCACACCACCCCCATCTCGGGATGCACCAAACCGCCGCTGCCAACCTCCCTCATGCTGCTCTCAAGCATCTGGAGGATGAGCCTTACCCCTCTCTCTGTGACTTGAAAAGCTTATTTTTACTTTAATATTGTTGTGACATTTTTTTCTCCTCCCCCTTTTTTAATCACATCAGATGGTTTTGCTGCAAGACTTTTCTGCAGCAACTACAAGTCACTTTCCTGTGGATTGCTGCCATGAGATCAGCTTTTTCTTTTGTTTTCTTTTTTTTTCCCGAGTTGCTGGAAGCTACAAAGCTTATTCCTGTAAAATCACCTTTGATCCACTCCTCTCCTCCCAGCCAAGCCTTCCCCTTTGCTAACATTCACCTCCTCTGCCTTCCTGTGGCTGATCCACTCAATACGCCCACTTTGCAGCTTGTGGCAGGTCTTCCTGCAGGTCAGTCTCTCCTTGCTGCCTACAACTGTTTGCAATGGTTCTCTGGCAGCTAAATCCTAGTGCTGCCCAGGGCATGGCTCCCAGTAACCTTAGAAGCAGGCAGAAATCCCTTCAGGTAATTAAAAGAAATGTAAAATCGCAGTTAAGCAGTTATATAAGAGACAGTAACAACATGAACAAATGCTTATATATTGCACTTCTGCAGACAGGCTTTTGCAAGGATGCAAGAGAGAGGCTGCACCATTCCTGCAGCTCACAAGCAGTTCTGTCACGAATCAGCAGCACGAATAGAGACAGCAATCAAAACCAGAATTCATCATAAGCACTGTCTCATGGCATGAGTGGTAGGGTGACCACAGCTGTCCCACCGCCACCCTGCTGAGCTCACCAGCTGTGAAGACATCCACAAGCTGAGGTTAGAGTCACATTTCCCAACCTGAAAGAAATACACTCAGTAGTCACCATTAGAGTTTATTTTTCTTCATGACTGTGCAGTCTTTTAAAATTCTACAGTAATGATGAAGTCATAGGCTACTACTTTTAAGTGTGGAAACAGTTTTCAGAAACAAAGACCATGCGCTACATGTGAGGAACAGGCCATTGACTCTCCAGCTGGAAATATTTTCAATAAATACTGATCACTTTAACACTTAAATGGAATGACGTGTTCAGGTTTCTACACAGCTCACTATGAAAACAGCATGGTAAGTTACATAAAAGCTTCAACCGTAAGGATGTTTGCTTTGTTGTTATATGAATCACTTTGTTAGAAAAAGAGAAATGCAAGAATATTTCAATGGAGTGTCACCTGGACAACGTTTTTTCCCCATTATATTTCAGAAGCTGCTATTAGCAAGACAATTCCATCAGAGCTGGTAATTAAGTTAAAATACATATAAAAGAATCCCACACATCACTGTCAGGAGTTGTTACAGGCAAGTGTCTGTATGAATTTGGAACGGGTATTCAATAACTGTATCTTGACTTTTATTGCTTTTACTCATAAACCTGGAACCCAGTTTATTCTTCTGAAGACTGTCAGCACTAAAGTCAGTGAAGTGCGAGTTTTACTTCTATGTTTGCATTCTGCTTGAGAAAAAAACCCAAACAAAGCACACATGAAAACACACATACACCTTCATCTACAAAAAGCTGACACAGAATAAAGCAGAACAAGGTAAGTCCTAAAGTAACAGTGTTTAAAAACATCAATAGGGTGGAAACGCAACTCATCTAGCTTATCCAAAAATTTTTTTCCTCCCATGCTTGGGTTTAGTTACACAAGGAAGTTCTGCCTCTCTTGCAGAGAAAAGCAACTTGTAGAGATCAACAGAACGAAGATTTCAGGGAGCACAAAGGTATGTTTTATTGGAACATAATTGGAACATATTGAGAGGCACTGTGCCTTATATACTCTCCATGCTTAGATCTATTTAGACTGTTCCCCAGCTACCAAAGGAGGAATGTGAGGTGAGGACAGAACCCATATTGGTTACAGGTATTGCACAGTTTTACCACTTGCCAGTTAAGCTAGCAATGTAGTCTCAATACAAGACCACTGGAGTTAGGGGTGTAGAGGATGCAAGAGATACATACTTTCAATGCATTCCAGCTCACCTTGGACACTGCCAGCATGAGGGTGCTACACATAACAAACTGGCTAAACTGCCATCTTGGAGAACTGAGATGAAAGGAGTGTTACTCTTACTAACAGACAAATTCGTTGCAAGATATTTAAGAGATTGCATTCCATCGGTTTCCATCTCTTCTCCCTTCATCCCCCCAAGAAGAAGAGACAAGCAAATACGTTTAAGTTGGTACTTGTGTAAACACCAGAACATTTAATTATACAACAAAAGAAGTTACTCTTTTAATATTCTTAGAGGAGCCCTGAATTCCTTGGAATACTGTATCCTGCAATTATTAATCTGTACCACACGTGCATTTCTTGTTTTGTACACAAACTGAAAGCAAGCTTGAACAATAGTAAATAGCAATTACACTCTTGCAACAGGTAAAAACACCACATTGCAGTTGCTTACTCCTTTACTTTAGATATGTAGTCAGCCAGTTTGTTGATACTTTCCTCCTGCTGTTCTAGAGCATCCAGTATGATACCCATTGGGGTCTTCTTCAAACCTATTTCTTCCTTTTTGTTCTCCAGCTTGTTCTTTATGTTCCGGAGCCTCAGAGAAGCGTGGATAAACATCACTGCACAACAAAAACACATTTACTAATCAGTAACACCCAATGAATGCATCAGCTGGAAGAAGATCTCTGAATGACTGCTTCAGTAACTGCAAGTATCTATTTAATAATAATAACACTCAAGATGACTTGTGGTGTTTTACGTGCCCTCTTCCCCCAGTCTTGTCTTTGCTTTAGAGAGAGTACAGCCATTCGCTGATTTAGTCTCTCAAGACTTATTTGAGAAAGCTCAGTTCAGCCCTCAGAGAATAGCAAAAATACTTACAGAGGAGAGGAAGAGTGATCCCAAACATGAACACCATGACATCTCCCAAGTAGGAGATCAAGAAGTAGCTAGACAGCATGATGACTATCACAAACGTGGTTGGGTACTGCTTCTTCATCCTGCGGAGTATGTCCTTGTTGTGTGACACCCACACGAACCCCAGGAACACCAGGACCACCACGGTACCACCAATGAGCATATTCAGGGGACTCAGAAATCTGGAGAAAAGAGGTGAGAGAAAAGAAAAAGAAAAAAAAAAAATAGGGACCAGGAAGTTTGTTTCAGAGCTTTTGTGAATTGTGTCCATGCAGCAAACATCTAGCTTGCTGGTATCTTTGCTGCTAGGTAGGTAAATAGCTATCTAAGTCATTAAGAAGTCAGTTGCTGTTGCAAAAGTCTTTATTGACTTCTGCTTTTTACCCCAAAGCAACTGCACAAGCAACCTTTAGCCATGAATTAGCATATTTAGATAATCTTCTTCTTTATGTTCCCTTCTTGAACATAGCTGAGGATAATGAGAATTTCTGCATCACATTAATAGACACATTTAGCACCAGATTGCCTCCCACCCAGGCTATCAGTGCTTTTGCTTGACATCATGCTCCAAGTCAGCCAATCCCAACAGCTCACAGTTCCAGTGATCGGTTACCCAACAGGCTGATCTTCACATTACCAAAACCAGGATCAGCCTACATGTTCAGGTCAACTAGTTTTTATCATCTTGTCTGGATTTACAAAGGGCAAAAGGTATGGGAAATATTGAGTATAGAAAGTTACTTCACTGTTATTGTTTATGCCTTCGATACTTATCAACTTTGGCATATAGTGTTTGTGTCAAAACAAGCACGTGGAAGCAACTTACTGGCAATTTGCTATGGTAAGAAGGCAATGTTCATTATGCCCAGCTACCTAAATTTCTTACAGTTATAGAAAAACTGCAGCAGATCTTAGAAAATAGCATAATACTGATACAAACTATTACACTAATTCCCCTGCCAAACAAACATTAGATTCTGAGGTAACTTTAACTTAGACTGAAGATACATTGTGTGGGTAGGTGACAGGAAAGGAAGGTTTTTCCCCAATTGAAACAACTGTTAGGAGCCTAGACTTTCAGCCCATGATTTCTTCTTTTAAATGTATTTATATTTTGCTGTTCTGTGTAGTGCTTTATCTCTGAATTATCCCCTTTAACAGTTCACACCTGACTAAGGTTATTTTATGGACCTGCAGGAACTTACCACCATCGGCACGACACACGAAAGCCCAGTCCCAAGCAAATGTGTCTGAGAGTCAGATGGAACTGGACACGTGGGGTAAAGGTCTTGCAGGAAGAAGAGCCAGGCCTGGCAAAGGGGCGACTGCTGAGGTTTGTGTTCTATTATTGTTATTGGAGTTACCAAGCAAACCAAGCCACCG